TTTTTCTTTGAGTTTTTTGGTTTTTGTTTTTTGTCTTTTTAGCTATTATTTATCAAACCTTTGGAGGGAAAATGGAAAGTGAAATCACCTCAGGGCAGAAACCCAAAGGGAAAACATTAACATTAGCTAAGAACATAAAAGAACACACAATTACCGAATCATATAAGAGTCTGAAGTTAACTGTCCATCTCACTGTGATTTATACCCAGAAGGGCCGAGCTCGTGCACGGTTCATGGCCCAGAGTGAATATCCTATCCCAGCTCCTCCTGCCGGCCCACCATGCTCTCCGCATCGCTGGGTCACCTCAAGAACAAGCCCCTCCAAGGGCCCTGGTCCCCCACACCTCAGGCACAGCATTCACAGAAGGAAAGGAGGACGGGACATGCCAGATGGTCCTCAGTCCCACGGAAACAGGGAGGGGCTGGGAAGCTCATTCTACAGATGGGGAAGCGGTTCAAACCAGGCCTCCTGTGCCTGTCAGCCTTCCTCCCGGTCCAGCGCTCCTGACAGATGTTTGGTCGCCCCCAGCGATGGGGCGCTCCTTTCTTTCCCAGGTTGCCAGTTCCGTTTTGGAGGGCTACTTAGAAAGTCCCTATTCTTCCTGAGTCCAGCTCTTCATGCCCATCCCTGCCCCGTCTCACTCACCTCCCTGCTCCCATTTTCCACGTATTTGGCAAGCACTGGTTGAGCTATCAGTGACTGTGCAGCCTTGTACCAGGCATCCCCTGGAGTAAAAGGCACCCCCTGGAGTAAAAGGCATCCCCTGGGGTAAAAGGCATCCCCTGGCGTTGTGCCACAAAATAGCCACACATTGGATTTGGGCTTAACAAGTAAGGAACAGTCCACCTCTCCAGCCTTAACAAGCTTCTCTCCCACCTCCCAACCTCCCTGTGCCTGCTGTCCACTCCCATTCCCTCCACCCAGGCTCAAGGCAAGAATCCCCACCTTGTCTATCAGGAAGGGGCCATGGGTCACACCATTTAATCCTCACAACCCCACGCAGTCAGCCATGCTATCCTTATTACATGGAGGAGGAGGCAGAGGCTCAGAGCAGGTAAAACAACTGGCTTAAGGACACCAGACTGGGCATTTTACCATGGAGATGCTGGAAGGAGAAGACTAGAGACAGAGACCCCATATCCTGTCCACCACACTCAGCCAACATCAACCAACCCTAGAAATACGAACAGCCCCACTCTACCAAACTCCCTCCTCATCCTCATCTCCTCCCTCAGAACGGCCCCAGGGTCAGAGCCCCTGCAACCAGCGGCATAGCAAATGCCACTGGGTTCAAGGGAAAAGGCTGGTGCCAAATCTTTGGCTTTGGAATTTAATTCTGGAAGATATATAAAGGGCTCATCAAACCCTGCATGGGGCATCTAGTCTCACCAGCCTCATCAAGTCAGCACCCAACAGCATCCGGCTGCTTTGAAAAATGGATCTCATTAAATTACTCAGATGCTCCCATTGGCTCTTTCTTCCGAATCATTAAGCTTTCTTCCGAAATATTTAAGCTCAAAGTTTTCCTCTTTGGTACTTATAAAAAGTAACCACGTGTAGAGCTTGTCTATACACAGAGAGACTTTATTATTATTAATAGTATTATTGCTACTATTATTGTAATATTTTTATTTTCCTTTTCTTCTCCCTACCGCCTGCTTTATCCCAGTTTCCTCATATCTTTTTTATCTTGTTGAGTTACCTAAATTTTTGTCCACCACCACACATTACTTTTGGAATAAGGTGAGCTCTAAACCCATAAAGGCAGCCCTTGGTATTTGTGAAGGTGTATGAAGGAATGAAGTCGCTCAAGGGAGAGATGGAAAAGAGAGAGCAAACGCTGAAGGAGAGAGGGATTTTGGGTCCCCAGGCCACCACATCTGCAGCCACCAGAGGCGTGACATCCCACCCACTCTGGCAGCCTTGATGGTGGCCATTGACTAAGCTTCCCTACCTCCCTGGGGTTTTCATGATAAAGCAGGAACAGACCCATGTGTGCCCCACCTCTCCTGCCTCCCTGTGAGCCTGCTCCGCCCGCAAGCATGACGTCACACTGTTAGCCACAGGCTCCAGTACTGGCTCCTCAGGTGACGAGTGGAGTAAGGGCCCCAGTCTAGATATTTCTGCTTCTAAATTCTGTCCTCTTGGAGAGGAAAGTGAGGCTGTGCATTAATTCCACTTTTCCGATAACAACCTCTCGAGGTAGCTCGAGTGTGGTTCTCTTTTATTCCTTCCTTAGCACTTGCTGGTGGCCTCTGGGTTGAGAGGTATCTCGAAAGTGATGTAGACACCACTTCCATCTGCTACTTGCAATTATCCAAATTAAGGCCAAGTGGACACACGGCTGGTGTTCTAACTGAGCTCACAGCCACTCTGACCCCTGCATCCCTGAGGCCTGGGCATGATGTGGCCAGGCTGGTGGTGGCCAGAGTCCACGTCGTCACCTCGGTGTTTGATGAGGCGCTCACATCTGGACTGGGCTCCTGCTCCTGGCTGTGTGCTTGGGGTAGCAGGGAGGTCCCAGCTGCAGCAGCGTCATGAATCCCTGCCAGTCTGTGTTTGGATTCTTCTCAGCACCCGGGACAAAATGCCAAGGAGGACCAAGAGAAGCCCCAGGGTTTTCATGCAACACCCACCCTTCCCCGTGAATTCCTAAAGGAGCAAAGGGAAGTAGGACCTGAAATACTTAAAGTCCTCTTCTTTCCCTGCCCCTTGGGCTTGAGCAGGAGCCCATCTCTACTGAAGGTCTCATCCCCAGGAAAATCCTCAGAGGACCACAAACACTCAAGAGGCCTATAACCTCCACTCTGGCCAGGATCTGTGTGCGTCTGTTTTTTTCTCTCTCTTTTGTTTCTAAGACAAAGAAATCAGTTGTTGACATGCTTTTAAAGTGTAGAAAAGATCTAAACTTTGCTTCATGGTACATGTGACGTGGGTGTTGCCCACACACTCTCCTTCTTTAGGGAGGACACACGGTGAGAAGAGGAGTAGAGGTGATGGGCTGAACAGCAGGAAGCCATAGAGGAGGGAACTGGGAGGAGAGGGAAGGAGAAAAATCACCAGAGACTCGAGACATGAATGGGAGAGGCGAGGGGACCCCAAGGAGAGAGGAACGGAATGTCTGTTGAATCAATTAACTGAATGCTGAAATGTCCTCATTCTAAAAGCAAGACACTAAGGCTCAAGGGGAATAAAGGGATCTCTCATCTAACATCCCAAAGCTAGTAAGGGCTGGAGGAGGACTAGACCCCACATCTCTCCAGCATCTACTCCAAGGGGTGCTGGTTTCACTTCCTTGACAGTTGGTGCTCGAGCTCCTCAAGACGTGGATCTGGTTTCTTCAGATCAGCCCAGGAAACAGGTGTGGCCTAAGGCCTTACTTAGAGACTTCTACTACTGGCTTTTGCCTCCAACCCCACTCCCTCATCACGTGCCCTTCATAAGAATCCTGGCACAGGAAATGCCAGCTCTTCCTCTGACTTGCTGTGTGACCTGGTGCAAGTGCCTTCCCCTCTCTGGGCTCTAGAAGCCTCTCTGTAAGGTGTGACCAGGGGCCACACAGGTTCAGTAAATATTGAATAACCAGTGTCTTGGCCACTAAAGCAAACACTGAGCTAACTGGGAGGGTTCCGTAAAGCCTGGAGTCTGTGATTTCCAGAAAGGACCAAAGCAAAGTTACCAAACTGAATGAAAGCAGCTGGCACTGAAATTTCAACTTCCCAGGTGCATGTGTTTGAAACTATTGGGCGCAGTGGTGAATGCACACAGAAATGGGACATTTGCAGTGTCTGGAGTGCAAAAAGGGTGAAAGCAAATCCTTTGGTCTTTCTTTACAAACATTTGAAGTCCCCGGCATCCAGCACGCGTTATGGAATTACCTTCAAACAAAAACTTATAAATCATTCACCACCAGCAATCACCCCTCCTGCTCTTTCCACATGAGCTACCGGAAAGGGGTTGTGGGGTAGGGAATGACAGGAAGCTGTCTGGTGCTCTGTGCCTTGGGGACAGCCACCCAGCACCAGTCACAAACCCCAGAGCCCTAGGGTGCCTCTGTTCCTCCAAGCTTTCTCCCTAGGTCGCCCTCTTCTACGCCCTCCTCCTAGCTTTCTGGCACAGGCCAAGAATGGACAATTGCCCCACCCTCAGCCTTGTTCTCAGCAGTCCTCCAACCTGGAAGGCACATTCCCCGCCTACAGAAATCACCCAGCCTCCCCCTCAAACTTGAATGTCCCCCTCCAGGCTTTCTTCTCTTTTCCCCAAGTAGTAGAAGTGAAGTCTCAGTCCTGGGCACTCTCCTCCCTAAGCCTGCCCACCGCTTTTTGCAGTACTCACCTCTCTGCATGGAGACTCATCACCTCCACTCAATGAGGGGTTCGGGGATTTGTCTTCACCTCTCCCTTGGAATCCTCTGCTCCCCAGCACCCCCTTCAACTACTAGGGGCTTGGCTGGACAAATCGCCCACCCCTGCAAGGCTGTCCTTGTCCAAACCAGACTTCTTGGCTTCAAATGGATTTCTTGAACTTAAAGTGGAAGTTCAGCTTAATGTGAACTTAAACTTGAAGGAGTTTGAGCCTGGCCAGGGGTTCCAAACTTACCTCTGCCATCTCCTCCTAACTATCTCCTCCTAACCACGTGGGAAAGCAGATGGAGTCCCTTGAACCTGTTCCACCACCACAGTAAACCATACAGCCCATATGCAGCCCAAGGACTGTGCTAAAGATTTTAACTGCATTTTCTCATGGCGTGCCCCTATGCCCGGTGACAGTTGGTACTTTTATCCTTATTGCCACCTCACAGATGAGAAAGTGGAGGCTCAGGGAGGTTAATTGCCCTAAGTCACTTGGCCAAGGGATGATGGAACAGTGACTCTGTGGGATTTCAAACCCTCTTATCCCCCCAGGAAGTCCACAGACCCCTGGACATTCTGAGGCAGCAAGATAAGGGCGTCCCCCAGCCACCAGGCTCCCTCCTCCTGGGTCTCCCAGCCCTGGCTACCTTCCTTGGGCGCATTGGCATCCCAGACGCTCCACATCTGCACGAAGAAGAAAGGCGTCCAGCACACGATGAAGGCCAGCACGATGATGAAAGTCATCTTGACCGTGCGGATCTTGGCCTTGGAGATGAGCTTGACGCTGCTGACACGTGCCAGGGCCATGCGCCCCCCATCGCCAGCCGCCGCGCCCTCTGGCGCCTCTGCCGCCGCAGCTGCAGCGGTCTTGAGCCGCAAATTCTGCCAGATCTTGAAGCTGATAAGGCCATAGCAGGCAGCGAGCACGATGACCGGCACGATGTAGACAGCTAGCGTGATCCACGTGATGTAGGCCTTGGGTCCCCAGGGCTGGATGAAGACCGCCCAGCAGTCGAAGACGCCGTCAGCCACCTCGCGCAGAGAGAAGATGTGCACCTGCGGCGCGCTGGCCACCAGGCAGCCGAGCCACGTGGCGAGCACTGCCAGGCGGTCCGTGCGGCGGCGCAGCGAGCGCAGCGGCTGGCAGATGGCCAGGCAGCGGTCCAGGGACATGAGTAGCAGCAGGTAGGTGGAGGCGAACATGCCCACCACCTGCAAGTACTTGACCAGACGGCACAGCAGGTCGGGCCCGTAGAAGCGGAAGGTGATGTCCCACAGCAACTGCGGCAGCACCTGGAAGACTGCCACCACCAGGTCGGCGATGCTCAGGTGCTTCATGAAGAAGAAGAGGCGCGAGTGCTTGTGGCGCGTGGTGCGCAGCGCCAGCAGCACACACGCATTCCCGCTCAGCGCCAGAAACAGGATGAGACAGAGCACCGCCACCTCCACGCGCGCCAGGGCCTCGTTGCGCCGCGGGGGTCCGGCGGTGCAGTTGCCCTCGGCCCCCGGCGGCGCGGCGCTGGAGTTGACTGCCTCGGTGCTCCAGTTGGCTGCGAGCTCGCCCTCCATGACCCTGGCGGCCGCGGTGCGCCCCGGCCTTCGAGCCCTTTACGGCTTGGAGCGGCGGGGCCGGATCCGGCGTGTCGGAGGGTGTAGAGGCGCCTGGGGCTCCTCCTGGAGACTCCACGGACGGATCTGCTGGGTCCACCCTGAAACAAACCGGGAGGGCCGTGAGGAGACCGCCGCGTTTCTCTTCCGACGCGGGTAGGGCGTGTTTGTTCCATTCCCAGGAACCCAAGTCATCTGAAACACGGGGCACAACCGCCGGCTTCGGGTTCCTCAGCCGCCACCCCAGAAATCCCCGTTGGAGGTACCTCCTCTGAGCCACTGCAAATGAGCGGGAATCCTCTAGCAGCCACAAGCCCAGAGCCCCCAGCGTGCCAGTTCCTTGGGATGTTCAGCGGCTTCCACTGGGGGAGATGGGAGGGTCAAAATCAGCCACTTTCCTCCGGGACTGGGACTCTAAAACCAAACCACCTCCCCGAGGGATCTCCAAACTACCTACCCGCCCCACGCTCCGACCCTCAGCATATCCACCTCCCGCGGGACCCCCATACCAGCCCACTTGCCTGGGAAACCCCAGCTCAGGGCCATCCCCGTCTAACCCCACTTTCTGAGACGCTCAGCCGTCACTACCTGAACTTCCACAGCACCTGCTTCGGTGGAAACCCGGTTCCGCAGTCCCTCCTGGGGGAACCCCTACTTCAAAGCCCAGGATGCCCAAGCGCTGTTCCCAGACCCTGGCAGAGACACTTCCCGCGGAGCTCCTCCCCAGCCCGGCAGCCTCGAAGGTTCAGGAACCCCCGGCCTGCGCTTTGGACCCAGATAATCAAGGACTCTGGGTCTCAATCCCGAGAAGTCACTTTACAATCTCTCGGAACACCCCGCGCTCCTCCAGGAACAAGGAGTGCGAGGCATCCCACCACCTCCACTCGGGTCCCGATGGCTCCACCGGCCCTAGCCATCCCGTCCATCCCTGCTTAGCACCCAGCTACCTGCACCGAGTCCGCAGGTGAACCTAAAGTTGACTCCCCCCAGGAAAGTTGCACGGCGACTGACGGCCCCAGTGACGCGTGCGCTCCCGGCCCGAGTTGGGATGGCCTGCCGGCAGCACCTAATGTGATGCTAGGCTGAGGTCTCTGACTCTGGAGCCTCTGTTGTAATCCCCTCGCTGCAGCCTGGCTGGTCGCTGGATGGGTACAGGAGGTGAGCGAGGAGCGCCGCCGGGGATGAGCGCGCGGACAGCGTCTGGATGCCGCGCTGTGCTCTGGGGCAGAGGCTGCACTATCGCACGGGTCCGCTAGGGGGCGGACGAGGCCAGCCGCGCAGACCCCTGCGGAGCGGGGCTGGTTCGCCCAGCGTTGGTCCCGGAGACTTAACAAACGGGTTTATTTTGCAGTGGTTTAAAACTGCGAGAGGGAGGGAACTCGTAAATAACCCGCCCGTTTCTTCCTTTCTTGGTTTGGAAGCTCCTGACTCTGAGACACATGGGAGGCTTGAATAATAATGTTTTTCCCCGGGTAGATAGTGATGAAGTTACAAAAGCATTTAAACTGATTACTTTCCAAAAATGATGTTAATTTTCAGCCTTTTCTCTCCCCCCACACCTCCAGCTTGATGTAGTGGCTTTAGCAGTGAACTCAAGTAAGTCTTTGCTTTGGAATACTTTTGTTCCTATTCCCGTTAATGAGGAATTAGAAATGGCCTCTATTCTAAGCAGTGCTGGGAGAGGCTTTATTCTTTAGGTAGTTTTAGAGGAAATTCTGAAGCATAACACTCTATCTTCATTTAAAGTGATTCTGCTTGTCTGCGGCCAAGAGCCGTTTCTTCCTCCTTGTCGTGCTTCAGAATTAAAATCCTAAATCATGCCAAAGGAAGATAAAATGTTAAAGACAGCTTCTCAGCCTCCCTGCCCCTTCTCTATTCTCAAATCATTTTTTGAAGTAATTTACAGTGGCCAAGAATTAAGTCAGAAAAAAGGCCAAGATTCAAAAGTAAACAAGGCTCCTTAAAATGCATTAAATGTGTATTTTCTCCTGACATTTCACTTCTCCCTCTTTTTATTATGTGGAGAGAATTGAGTTAGCCAAGGACTGGGTTTCCTCAATCCACAATTACAGGCCCATGCCAGGATATCCCAGGGGCCAAACTTACAGCACCTGGATCCCAGGGTTCTAGCTGAGTAATCATTCCAGAATGGGGCTGGGAATTTTGGCAGCATTGCCAAGGGGTGGCAGGCAATATTAATCAATATTACTCAATAGTACCTATCTACCTCGAAAATTACAGATTAAAGTTACAGATCACTCAGGTGAGAATGAAGTGACCTTGGGCAAGTCCCTTCTCTTTGGGTCTCAGTCTCCTCATATGTAAAATGAGAGGACTGGTCAAGATAGCTAATGTCTGAGGTTCTGTCCCTCTGGTTTTCTGAAACGGTATAAGCTGTGCACTCCAAGAGTTTAATCCTAGCAGGTAAAACACCCCTGCCTCACTCCATGGCTGGATGAAGGGAGATGTTTCCCTATGAGCCCCTGATTGGCAAATGTGGGAAGGAAAACACTGGGCTGTAGAACCAAGCCTGCTCTTCTTTCTCCTGGAAGACAGCTGCTTTCTAGGGAGCAAGTTTACGGAGCCACTTCGCCAAGGACAGACTCTTCTACCCTTTGTAGGAAGCCTGCCTACCTGTGTGATCCTTGCATAGCCGGTGAGACAGCCTAATTCTGGATTCACCTAACAGGGCTATTTAGTCTCACGCAAAAGCTAAATTCTCTAATTTAGTCTTAATCTAAAAAACAAGAACAACAACAACAACAAAAAATCGTAATAGTGTGATCCCCATTTCCTGTCTTTTGTTTTATTTCTCATTGTGTGCAGAAATCAGGCAGGAAACAGAGAGGTCCCCTTGAAAACTCCTAACAATGAATAAGATATGCTCCTTCACCTTTGAGCTTCAGCCAAGGAGAAAAACACATATTAGGTTGGTGCAAAAGTAATTGTGGTTTTTTTTGTTAAAAATAATGGCAAAAACTGCAATTAGTTTTGCATCAACCTAGTATTTGCAGTGTGACAACAATAAATGCTGTTACAGAAGTGAGGACTGCTGGGGGCTGAGGTAATACTTTGAGACCATTTTACAAAGAGGTAGCTGGATTTCAGAGCTCCAGAATGAGCTCTCCAGGAAGCAAAGAAAAAAGGCGTACTTCTCAGAGAATGGTACAGGGGAATCACTTTGGCGTTTTGGAGGAAGGACTAAAGATGAATTGCTTGGTGCCTAGCACATTGCCAACACTTAATACATACGGTTGGCCCTCTATATCCCTGTACCTGTGGGTTCAGTGGATTCAAATAATCATGGATTGAAAATATTCAGGAAAAAAAATCCTCAAAGTTCCAAAAAGCAAAAATTGAATTTGCCATGTGCCACCTACAACACTGAATGCACACAAATGCAGTGATGAGTGACACTGCATTAGGTATTACAAGTAATCTTGAGATGACTTAAAGTATGTGAGAGGATATGCACAGGTTATATGCAATTACTGCTTCATTTTGTATCAGGGATTTGTGTATCTTGAACCAATCCCCCATGGATACCAAGAGATAACTGTACTTATTGATGCTAAAGGATCTTCGAGGTCATGTAAAGTAAAGGAGAATGGGTTTTATTCTGTAACCCAACATTCCCCAAAATGTGGGATGGAATACTTTCTGATAGTGTTAAATGTGAATTTAATATTCAGTGATACTGAATAACATAGGGAGGAAATTCAGTTCTCAGTTCTGTTTCTTTCCTTTTGACGTCAGCAAAGAGAAAGTCTGACATAACAAAAATCGCAAAGGTGCTAGTGCAAAGATGACTGAGGTTAGAAGGCATTGATGGGGAAGGTGGGGCACCTGGAAGGACTGCAAGCAAAACAACGTACTCAGATCTGTACTTGGTGACAGAATGCTGGTAGCCACAGGGAAGATGGGAAAGGAGATACTGGCATTATGAAGGCCTTGCAGATCCAGGCAAGAGATGCTGTAGGCATGGACCAAAGACATGATGTTAGAAGAACAGAACTTCCAAAGAAACAGAACCATCGGGATGTATATATGTAGAGAAAGAGAAGGAATCGGTTCATGTGTTATGGAGGCTAGCAAGTCCAAAATCTTCAGAGTGAGCTGGCAGGCTGGAGACCCAGGGAAGAGCTGATTTTGCAGGTCAAGTCCAAAGGTCCTCTGCTGCGGAATCCCTTCTTGCTCAGGGAGGTCAGTCTTTTGTTCCATATAGACCTTCGACTGATTGGATAAGCCCACCAACGTTATGGTGGGTGATCTTTACTCCAGATGTTAATCTCATCCAAAAACACCCCCACAGAAACACCCAGAATATTTGACCAAATATCTGGGCACCATGGCGCAGCCAAGTTGACACATAAAATGAACCATCACAGACAGAGATTCAGCAATTCCTGATTTACAAATGTCCTCATCTGTCTGAGTATCCAGGCATCTTTTTTTATTATTATTATTTTAAGTTCTGGAGTTCATGTACAGGATGTACAGGTTTGTTACATAGGTAAATGTGTGCCATGGTGGTTTGCTGCACCTATCAACCCATCACCTAGGTGTTAAGCACAGCACACATTAGCTATTTTTCCTGATGCTCTCCTTCCCTCCACCCCCATGACAGGCCCCAGTGTGTGTTGTTCCCCTCCCTGTGTCTGTGTTCTCATCATTCAGCTCCCACTTGTAAGTCAGAACATATGGTGTTTGGTTTTCTGTTCCTGTGTTAGTTTGCTGAGGATAATAGCTTCCAGCTCCATCCATGTCCCTGCAAAGGACATGATCTTGTTCCTTTTTATGGCTGCATAGTATTCCATGGCATATATATACCATATTTTCTTTATCCAGTCTATCATTGATGGGCATTCCATGGGTCGATTCCATATCTTTGCTATCATGAATAGTGCTACGGTGAACATACACATGCAGGTATCTTTACAATAGAATTATTTATATTCCTTTGGGTATATACCCAGTCATGAGATTGCTGGGTAAAATGGTCTTTCTGGTTCTAGGTCTTTGAGGAATGGCCACTCTATCTTCCACAATGGTTGAACTAATTTGCATTCCCATCAATAATGTAAAAATGTTCCTATTTCTCCAGATTCTTTACAGCACCTGTTGTTTCTTGGCTTCTGAATAATCACCATTCTGACTGGCATGAGATGGTATCTTATTGTGATTTTTATTTGCATTTCTCTAATGATCAGTGATGTTGACCTTTCTTTCATATGTTTGTTGGCCACACAAATGTCTTCTTTTGAGAAGTATCTGTTCATGTCCTTTGCCCACTTTATAATGGGGTTGTTTTTTTCTTGTATCCAAGCATCTTAAAGGTGGGGCCAATGTTGTCTATACCTGTACTTCGAAAGGCCTAGGTCACTGTAGAATAGGCAACTTTCAGGTATTTGTTAAATACAGAAGGATAAAAGGAAGGGGAAAAGGAGGGAAGAAATAAACATCTCCATGGGCAGTTTTCCTCTCTTAAGAGCAGAACCTTAAGAGAGGTATCTTGGGGAAGGTATCTTGCCCAGAGAATGACCTGTCCTGTACCCGCTTCTACCTCTGGGAACTGGGTCTGAGTTTTAGCATCTTGGGAATTTTCCAGTACTGGCACATTTATTTCAATGGGGATCCAAGCCCAAGTGGCCTTTGCTCTATAGTCAGAGTAGAAATGAGTTGTAAACACATCCAACCTACTCCCTCCCTAACATCACCCCTCTCCCTAGCCTGCCCCCAAATAACTTCTCAGCCTCGGCTTGGGCTTCTAGATCCAGGAGGGGGTCAGTGACATGCTCTCAGGCATAAAGACTGAGAACACATTGCAGCAATCAGCCTGCTGCTGGCATACTTGGCCTTCTTACATTTATAGTTCTGTGCAGATGCAGGAACATCAGGGCATGTGGGCTGACCTGGGAAGTTCCTGAGGCCGTGCCAGGATGCTGTGTCAGGCAGCCACAGCTTATAGGTGGAACTTGCATGGATTCCTTCTAGCCTGTGTGATTTTGGACTTCCCAGCCTTTTTTTTCATTCCTGTGTTCCATGGAGGGTGGAGAAAGAAAGAAAAATGTCCTTTCCTATTGGAGAGAGCTCTGAATCTGCAGCAGTAAGTGCTTGCTAGCATCTGGATTTTACCACGTTCTGTCGGCGTGGCAAAGGTACTGAACTTCTCCGAGACTCAGTTTCCCCAGGTGCTGATCACATGAGGCTGTGTGTATAAACCAAACTTAATGCACATGAAGAGTGCTTTGCAAACAGCAGAGAACTATACAACCAAATCTTTATTCCCATGCTGACAATCCTGACCCTAGGACCACTCCATGAAAATAT